TTCTGAGTTCATCCCTTGCAAACTTTTTTCTTCAATTCACTCTCAAAATCCTTTTTAGTGTGAACAATGGCATCCTCCAGCAGCGTTTCTGCAGGTAATCAGAAGAAAGCAACTTCTGAGCAATATCAAGTGCCGGTCAGAACTCTCCTCACTCCGGTGAAGAACCTTGAAGTGCTCTCTGAGTTAATCATTGACTTTGAAAGCTTGAAGGAGAATGGTTTTGATTATATTCTGATGTACTGTTTTGATTATGTTTTGTAATATTTTCTTGCTCTGATTCTGAACTATCTTAATATAATCAGTTTTTCTGATCTTAATTGTTTTAGCACATCACCAACACTTTTTGATTGCTGACAAAAAGGGGGAGAACAAGAATGATATTTAAATCAATAACGGCTAACTAGACAGAAATTCTCAAACATTCTAACTTTATTACTTGAAATGTTTTTTTCTGTTTTAAGTCTACAGGCACAAGGAAGCTCCTGGACACTCTGAAGACTAGAAGCTCTGATCAATGTTGCTCTGATCAATATGAAGTTCTGATCGTCCTAATACTCTGATCCAAAGCAAAGCTCTGACAAGAAAAGCTCTGAAGCTCTGCTCTCTGATAAGTCAAAGACTCTGATAATCTGATGTTCAAAGAAAGAAAAAGATCTGATCCTGAAGAACACGTATAATCAAAGGGAAGTAATAAACTCAGGGGGAGTATTTCCTTACTCCTTATTCCTTTACTTCTTATTCTGATACATATTCCAGATACCTTTTCACGTTATTTTAATTTAAAATATCTAGTTTTTGTCATCATCAAAAAGGGGGAGATTGTTAGAACAATGTTTGAATCTACTACCCTATATTTAAGTTTTGATGATAACAAAGTGAAAAGATATAGTATTTGTATGTTTCATGTTTGAACTATCTGCTGCCTAAAATTATTATGTTCTGACTTGCAGATACGCTGATTGAAATAAGCAAGATCACATCTATTCAGCATCAGAATTTGATTTCATACACCAGCATCAGAAGTTGCTACATCAGAACGTCAAGATCAGATGATCAACTCACGTACATGCTGAAGCTTGATGAACAAGACTGCGCTCAAACACTCTGATACAGAAACACAATAGTTCATCAGCAGCGAAGCAGAATCAGAATGAGCCAAGCCAGAACTTGCGTTAAGTAAGCAACGGTACTGTGCATTGAAAGCTAATTAATTCCAACGGCCTCATTCCAGACAAGATCTGCTCAAAAAGGAAAGCTTGTTATTAGCATTGAATCAAGAATATTGCATCCAACGTTCATCATCTCAAGTGCTATATAAACAAGACTTTGAAGATTGAAATGGTTAATGCTCTCCAAATCTCTACACGCACAAAGCTGAACCATAATCTTCGTCCTACCAGTTTTGCTAAACCACATACTCTGATATTCCATTACTGTTTAGCAATCTAGTTTCTAAGCTTCATTTGTGTACACATCACAGTTGTGATACAGTTTTGTAGAAAACATCCACACACATTGTTTTATACCTTTGTAAGTAAGTGTTGCCTTGACAAACCGGGTTGTGGTTTGAATCAAGAAGGCTTTAGCAGTTGTTAAAGCAGTCTGTAATATTCAGTTGAATATAGTGAATTAAGACCTCGTTGGAGAGAGGCGAAATCACCTTGACGGGTGGACTGGAGTAGTTTGAGATCAAACGAACCAGGATAAAAATATCTTGTCAATTGCTTTAGATTTCAGTTTTACAATTCAACCCCCCCTTCTTGTGTTTTTCACCCCTTCAATAACCCTCATAAAAATCAGGTTTTATCAGATTTAAGTGATTTTGACTCTGATGAACACTATGATAGCAAATCAGAACCCTCTCAATCAGAACCCCCTGAACCATCTGTTTTTCAACCCATTCCTGCTAAACATTTTTCAAGACCTCCTCCCAGACCTCTATCACCTAGACATACTGGATGGTATGATGCTGGTTCTTGGAGAATTACAGGGATAAATGAACCTCTAGCCACTATAAAGCCTCCTTTCAACCTACCATCTGAAAACAGTTTTGCTATGAATCAACCACAACCTCAGAATCCCATTCCCACTCCTGATTATACTATAATAATTTCGCCTGATGTCACTCCACCCACGTCACCACAACATACAACACCAATCTCACCTACACTCTCACCCCCTAAAATTCCAGAACAACAACCTTTTGAAAAAACTGAAACTGCTGAACCATCAGTACCTCATGAAATATCAGAACCTCCTATTTTTGTTGACCAACCTGAACCTACCAATAATCCCGAACCGAATAGCTTTTTAAGAACTGTAGTGGATTTTCAATCTTTACAATTCTTGAAAAACAAAACATTTCAAAAGGCTGTCCCTAAACCTGTTCAGCCAGATGTAAATACTTTGTTTCAGAATTTTATAACAAATATTCAAGCATGGTTACAACCGCTGAAAGAAGATTGCTCCAGAAGCGTGAACACAGCTGCAACATATCTTCTATGGGAAACCTTCAGAATAACTTTGGATGCTGAATCACGGAAGTTACAGGACTTATACCACTTTCAGGTGCTGGACAACTTTTCCAAACTTCTGCATGCTTTCAAGACAGAAGCTGCTGACACTTGGAATAAGAAGTCTTCGTTAATGATTACTGATACACCAACTGATACGATGGACATATCAGAAGATGAATCTGAAGAATCCTCTAAAGATTCAAATCCTCTGACTATTGTTCTATTGAATCAACCTTCTGTTAAGGTTGGACCTGAACCCGTGCCAACTCTTGCAATGGATCTGGGCACTCTACTTTCCACCTTCGTGAATTCTGACTCAACGGTTGCTGCTTCTAAGCATGTTTCTGCTGAAGCTTCGTCATCCTCTGCTCCTACCTCACTCATTATGGACACTCTGAAAGAGCTCAAGAAGGAGAATGAAGTCATAAATGAACGCTTGGATAAGCCAGATCAAACAAATCAAGAAATCAATAACTGGATGGTGAAACAAGAAGAATCTGCCTCTGAGATCAAGAATCTTCTGATGGCTCTTGTTACTAAAAGATCCTAGTTTCTTTTTTGTCTCTTGTCTTTTGTTTGGATGTTTTGTTTGTACTTCTGGATATTTTCTTTTAACTTTTTTATGAAATCTTTTAAAATTTCTCATTTATTTTTTACACTTTTTGATTATGCCAAAAAGGAGGAGAAAATGTGCATTCTTGAACTAATCACTGTTTAACAGTTATGAGACTAAGTCTTAGACATTCTAACAAATTGCAAGAATTCCTTCTGTGCAAAAGATTTTTTTTTGCAGGTATCACTTTAACTCTGAAAGAATATTCCAGCTGAGCATTATCTTCTTGAAGAAGTTCTGAAGAAATCCAAGAAGACTGTGTATTTCTCTAATAAAATAATCTCAGGATGTCTTATACATAGAAATATTCATTTCACGGGGAGATTCTTATCTCTTATCTGTTTCTTTTCTTTATCTAAAATAATTTTTTGTCATCATCAAAAAGGGGGAGATTGTAAGAACAAGATTAGTTCTGATCTATCTCAAGAGTTTTGATGATAACTAAATTATATTTTAAGATAATTTATACTCTAATGAATGTGTTTGAATGTCTCAGTTAATGTTATGACAGAAAACATTCTGAAGTGCTAAGCAAAAATTATGTAGAAGTTCTTTGATAAAAGAACCTTTTCTTCAAGCGCATCAGCTGACTCTGGTAAGACACTTTATTTGTTAAATATATCTTCTAACTTTTAGCAGGTTCCTTGCTCAGAAGATTACTTGAGAGCAAGCGTTGACCAAGTTCTTAGCAATCAAAGCACTGCTTAGAAGTTTAGTGAAACATGTTCTGACTTAAACACATTGAAGCAAATTTTGAAATAACGTTAAAACCAACTTGTCTTGTCAAAGCGTAGGAAACATATTCTTACATTCTATCGTTTACTCATTAAGGCTAAGACGGCTGAAAGCACTCAAGTGTCTACAACTAGTTTCTTGGAAAATTGAATATTGTAAGGAAACACGCAAGCATTTAATGCTCTCCAACTTTTCTGAAGGCAGCAACGGTCTTATTGTTCCTACTATAAATAGAAGGACATTTATTGCAAGCCAACAACGAAGTGAACCAATCAAATTTTCAAACAGAAGCAAGAAACTACGTGAAAGATTCAAAGCTCACTAACTCATTGTTCATACAATTTGTGCATTGTATTGTAAGTGAAAAATCACAGTTGTGATATAGCTTGATTAGAAGCAGAATTTTATTTCACTATCTGTAAAGATTAAACTCCTGTATTTGTTCCTTGAGAGACCAAGTTTGGTCAGATTTCTCAAGCAGACTAGGACTAGATTTAAGTCTTAGTGGTGTTAGTCACTTGTAAGATTACTTGTGCATTGTTAGTCACAACAGTTGTTGTGTGTTTGTAATCAATTGATTATAGTGGATTAAGTCCTTGTTGAGAAATGCGAAATCACCTTGGCGGGTGGACTGAAGTAGTTTGAGTTCAAACGAACCAGGATAAAAATAACTGTGTTCTTCCATTATTGTTTGAGCTTTGTATTGAAAACGAAAAGAGTCACTTATTCAACCCCCCCTTCTAAGTGTTTTTTTACCCCTTCAAGTTAAAACAAATCAATTTCTTCGCTTGAGAGATGAAATTGGTGTTGTTAGCTTCTGATAGAATATCTAAATTAAGGGATGATATTGAAAATATAATTTAGTTAATGTCTATAATTTCCAATGCTTATTCTTTAATAGGGCCTTTTGGCACTTTCAATATTTAGTATAAATATGCTATACTAACTATCAATATTGTATTCCAATTTTATCTCCTCTATTTTTGATATACAACAATAGTCTTATTATCGTTTTTGTTCATTCTACTTCTCCCACCTCATTACCTTGCACGAACATAAACCACCTTAATTGATTTTCATTAAAGTGAATTTGAACATAATAATTTATTTCATTTCATTCTAGAAAAAGTAGTAATTCAATATTTTAATAAATTATTTCTTAAATTTAGCAATTGATTAAGAGCAATAACCACCCACCAAAGTTGTGCATGAATGAGAGAAGAGAAGCAGCTTCTAAGAAATAACAATAGAGTCAAATCTTCAAAGAATTGAAAACTAGAAGAAATAGACACACACAACACAACACAACACAACACAACAACAACCTCTTTTTCCTTTCCCTTGTCTTTTTCTTTGCCAACACTCACTTCCTCGTGCTTCATTCTAGTACAAGTATACCCAAACCCATTCACAACCACATTTTCTTCATCTCTTCTTATCTATATAACCATTTACAATCCCATCCCATTTATCTTCATCATCAAAGAAATCTTCAATCTTTCTTCCATTTCTGAACTTGGGTCATCGCATAATTCATCCATTTTTTTTGAATGTGTGGGTATTCACCCTGTGTTGACGCGTTGTAGACATCACGGCTTTTCTTAGAGTTTATCGCTCTCTTTCTCATGCCCGCACTTCTCGACGTAAGGGTTCTTCTTTAACTCCTACTAACCCTTCGCCGCACGGTGGTCGTGGTGCTCTGCCTTCTGAAGGTGGTAGCCCCTCCGATCTCCTCTTCCTTGCTGGTGGTGGTTTCTTTGCTTCTCCCTCTTCTCCCTCTTCTCTTTCTTCCTTCTAATTTCTCTCTTTAGTTTAACTTTCTCTTATTGTAAGTTAGATTTCCTTGAAGGTACTTCTTTTTCTTGTTGTTGTTGTTGTTCTTCTTGTTGTTGTTCTTCTTGTTGTTGTTCTTGTTGCTGTTGTCGTTGAATCTTAAAAGACAAAAAAAAAGTTTTTTGTGTGTTTGTTTGGTGAAAATGATGCTGAAAATCAAAAGGGTTCCTACGGTTGTTTCGAATTATCAAAAAGAGGAGGGTTCTGAGGCTCCTCGTACTGTCGGAGGTTGTGGTCGGAATTGTCTTAAAGCTTGTTGTATTCAAGGTATTTGTTTTTTTTTTGACAGGTGTTGTTTTTTTTTTGTTACCATGCATGTATTATTGTTTTGATTTTTTATGTTGTGGTTTTGGTTTTGTGGATAGATGCAAAGCTTCCTTTGTATGCTTTTAAGAAGATTAGCAAAGTTGGTGGAAAGGATTTGGTGGTTGAGAAGTGTCAAGAGGAGCTTCCTTTGGCCTTTTTGGACTCACTTGTTCTTGGAGAGGTGATTGTTGAATTTTGATTATGGAGAATGATTATGAAGTTTTGAATTTTTGTTTTAATGGTCTTTTACCGGTTTATTTCAGTGGGAAGATCGCGTGCAAAGAGGACTTTTTCGATATGATGTTACCTCCTGTGAAACCAAGGTTTGATACTTTGATTCTTTCATTGTTTTTGTGAGTTTGTGTGTATTGTATTGTGCTTTTTGGAGATGTATGAAAATACTTTGATTTTTTGTTCTTTGTGTTGTGCTTTTTGGAGATGCATAGATATACTTTGATTCTTTGTTCTTTGTGTTGTGCTGATGCATGAATATACTTTGATTCTTTGTTCTTTGTGTTGGGCTTTTTGGGGAGGAGTATATTTGGTTTTGAGTTTAGTTTTGATGTGTTTTTGTGGTAATTTTGGTATAGGTGATTCCGGGTGAGTATGGTTTCATTGCTCAGCTCAACGAGGGTCGTCACCTCAAGAAGAGACCAACGGAGTTCAGAGTCGATAAGGTTCTTCAGCCTTTTGACGAAAACAAATTCAACTTCACTAAAGTTGGACAAGAGGAGGTTCTGTTTCAGTTTGAAGCTAGTGAAGACGGTGAAGTTCAGTTCCATCCAAATGCTCCGGTTGATGTTGAGAATTCTCCAAGTTTCGTTGCCATCAACGTAAGATTCTTAGCTCTTGTTCAGATTCTATCCTTGTAATTGGTCCATTAAGGCTAGAAGAGACTTTTTATACAATGTTTGTTTGTTTGTTTTTTTGATAACAGGTTAGTCCTATTGAGTATGGGCATGTTTTGCTGATTCCTCGCATTTTCGAGTGTTTGCCTCAAAGGATTGATCATGAGAGCTTATTGCTTGCACTTCATATGGCAGCCGAAGCTGCTAATCCATATTTCCGATTGGGTTACAATAGCCTCGGTGCTTTTGCAACCATTAACCATCTTCACTTTCAGGTACTGGACACTAAAGCTTATCCTATCGCGTTTTTGTCTTGAATATCCCAAGATTACTACCACCCTAATGCTCTTTGTTGATACCTTCGTTGTGTGTCATTGTTCGTGTCATTAATGATAAGCTATAGTGTCCAGTACCTTAATCCTATTGAAATTTGGTGTTTTTGTTTGACATATGCAGGCTTATTATTTGGCTATGCCCTTTCCTATCGAGAAAGCTCCCACTAAGAAAATTGCAACTTTGAACGGCGGTGTGAAGATGTCTGAATTGTTGAACTATCCGGTTCGAGGTCTTGTCTTCGAGGGCGGCGACACACTTGAAGATTTATCAAAAGTTGTTTCAGATGCTTGTATCTCCTTGCAAAACAACAACATACCTCACAATGTTCTTATTTCTGACTGCGGAACACAAGTGTTTCTGTTACCACAGGTAAAGCAAATCTCAAACTAAGTTACTACGTAAGCACTTATATATTATATAAGTGCTTACCTATAAGCACTTTTTCTATGACCAAATATAAATAAAATAGTTAACATATAGTTGTGAAACAGTGTTATGCAGAGAAACAAGCTCTAGGAGAAGTGAATGCTGAGCTTCTCGACACACAAGTGAACCCCGCGGCATGGGAGATTAGTGGACACATGGTTTTGAAGAGGAAAAAGGATTTCGATGAGGCGTCTGAAGCCAATGCTTGGAGGCTTCTTGCCGAAGTTTCACTCTCCGAAGAGAGGTTTCAAGAAGTCAAGGCCCTTATCTTTGAAGCTATTGCCTTAACTAAAGAATCAGATGACAGTCCTCAATATCTTCCTAAAGATGATGTCGTCGACTCTGTAGACCCGAGCACATATCCTGCTGTGGTGGCCGGTTCGCAAGAATGTGTTGTCTTACAGTAACAACAACAATGTTCTAAATGAATAAATTCAGTGATTGTGTGGTGAAAAAGTTTGCTGAATTATGTCTAGTTGAAATAAGTACCTTCAATGGTAACACTTGTTAAGTTCTTGAATTATGTTATGCCTAATGTTTGTGTTTTGTATAAGAACTATTGTACTCTGTGTTATGGCTTTCATCTTTCACCTTTGAAATAACAACTTCATGTACTGCATTGCATCGTATTTATAGATGCACATTTGTAATATATGAATATTGTATTTTTATATTTGCAAGTGTCATATCATAGTTCAAAAATTTGGTCCAAATCTTCTTTTTATTTAGAAGCATAGAAATTTGCACCAGAAAAATGAATGCAAAATTTGGTACACTTGGGATATTATCTTGATTAAAGATTAAGTTTGTTAAGTGTCAGAAAACGGTACTGGTCCATATAATCTCATACAATGATGAAAAAGAAAGGATAAACAGCTACCAACATTTTAGGAATATGCTATGTTAGGTGCGATTTCCACCCAGCACATGATTCTAAAGTATGTGCAGATTCAGGCTGCCAGGTGTTAGCATCTCTAATAACGTATTGAAAGGAATGGTAAAAAGATGTTGTATTTTTATTCCCCAGCTCTAGGCTGATTTATATAGTGGTAGTACAATAATAATTATTAATTCTCTCCTTAATGGAGAATAAAGGAAAATAAAAGATAATAAACGGAATGAATAAAATAAGGAAATAAAATATCTTCGAACACCCCTCCTCAAGTTGGTGCGTAGATATCTATCATGTCCAATTTGTCTATCAAATGCTCAAAGGTAGGTCTTGCTAAACTTTTGGTCAGAATATCTGCAGTTTACTAACTTGAAGTGACAAACGAGAGACATATGATTCCAGCATCTAACTTCTCCTTTATGAAGTGTCGATCAATCTCAATATGCTTGGTTCTGTCATGTTAAACTAGGTTATGAGCTATGCTAATGGAAGATTTACTGTCATAGTATAATTTCAATAGAAGCTCGATTTTCATCTTAAGTTCTTATAGGACTCTAAGGATCCATAATCCCTTCACAAATACCTTGAGACAAAACTCTAAACTTCGCTTCTACACTACTTCTTGCTACAATTCCTTGTTTCTTGCTCCTCCATATCACAAGATTACCCCAAACATAGGTACTGAAGGTTGAGAAAACACTTAGAAGGGGGGGGGGGGGGGGGGGGGGGGGTTGAATAAGTTTATCTTTTTCTTTTTCTTAAAGGCTCAACAATAATGGAAAGACAAGGTTATTTTTATCCTGGTTCGTTTGAACTCAAACTACTCCAATCCACCCGCCAAGGTGATTTCGCCTTTCTCAACAAGGACTTAATCCACTATAATCAACTGATTACAATCACACAACAACTGTTGTGACTAACAATGCACAAGTAATCTTACAAGTGACTCACACCACTAAGACTTAAACTAGTCCTAGTCTACTTGAGAAATCTGACCAAACTTGGTCTCTCAAGGAACAATTACAAGAGTTAAATCTTTACAGATAATGAAACAAAGTTTGCTTCTAAGAAAGCTATATCACAACTGTGATTTTTCACTAAGAATAATATTGCACAAAGTGTATGAATAATGAATTTGTGAGCCCATAATTTTTTACGTTGTTCTTGCTTCTTTTGAAATTGATGAGTTATATTCAGAACTTCAGTTGTTCAGTCTTTCAGTGTTTTAGGTAGTTGGCTTGTAATTAATGTTCTTCTATATATAGCATGAAGAAACATGACCGTTGCTGCCTTCAAATGGAGAGAATTAAATCTTTGTGTGTTTCCTTGCACTATTCCATTTTCCAATGAACTAGCATAGACACTTGAGTGCATGTAGCCGTCTTTGCATTAAATAAGCAAACGACACTTGTAAGAGCATGTCTCCTGATCCTTGACAAGACTTGTTAGCTTATATATTAATTCAGAACTTGGCTTCACGTCTTGATTCAGAACATGCTTACATATCTTCTAAACAACACTTGCTTGCTAAGTACTTCTGATCAGCGCTTGCTTTCAAAGAACTTCTGAAACATAGCTTACACAGAAACTTGCTAAGCGTTAGAAGATGTATTTAAATAATTATCTTACCAGAGTCAGCATCAGCACTTGCGCTAAAATAAATGGTTCTTTCATCAAAGAACTTCATTTATTTTCAGCTCAGCACATCAAGATGCTTATGTCAGAACATTATCAGAGTCAACATCAGCACTTGCGCTAAAACAAATAGTTCTTTCATCAAAGAACTTCTTCATTTATTTTCAGCTCAGCACATCAAGATGCTCCTGTTAGAATATTATCAGAGACAGCATCAGTACTTGCGCTAGAACAAATAGTTCTTTCATCAAAGAACTTCTTCATTTATTTTCAGCTCAGCACATCAAGATGCTTCTGTCAGAACATTATCTGAAACAATTAAATACGTTCATCAGAGTATCAAATATATAAAATATAATTTATTGTTATCATCAAAACTCTGAGATATGATCAGAACTAATCTTGTTCTAACAATCTCCCCCTTTTTGATGATGAAAAAAAAATATTCAGAAGAAATAAAATTTAATAAGAGATAGGAATCTCCCCCTGAAATAAATATTTCTTATAAGAAAAACTTCCTGAGAATTTTCATCAGAGCTTTGAAATTTTCTTCTGGGATTTCTTCAGCAAGTCTTTTGAAGATAATGTTCATTTGAAATTAAACTTCCAGAGTTTAAATGATACCTGCAAAGTTCTTTAAAACATAGAAAGAAATCTTGTATTTTGTTATAATGTTTGACACTTAGTTCCATAACTGTTAATCAGAGATTAGATTAAAATACTCATTTCTCCCCCTTTTTGGCATAATCAAAAAGTATATAAAAATAGTTGAAGAGCGTAAAAAATTTTCTATAATAAAAGATTCAGAGGTTCAACAAAACAACAAACGAGAAGGGTTTTTACAAAGGTATTTATATGAAGACTTTTTAGAAATAGGTTAAAAAATAAAACTGTAAAAAAAGTGTATTTAATAAAAGTTTAAATAAAAAGAATCTAATCATGACTTAGAGTTTAATGAAATTGAAAAGTGAGGGGAAAGCGTGAGATTTTAATCGAATCATAACAGTTACCTAGAACGGCGTCAATAGCTTAGCACGCGTGACCTTTTAGAAACACACCACGTGTTCATCTCCTGAAGGTTTCATGGGACAACTGTTTGATCTAATGAACTGCTGAGCTACATTTGAAATGAAACGTTAGGACATTTCAGAACTTTACATATAGCTTCTGATGTAACTTCTCTTCTAACTTCCAAAGAGTTGTTAATCAGAGTATTCATTTCAGAACATTCCGAAGTTAAGCACAGAAGATAAATATTATTTTATTCAGGACATAATTCCATACAAATATTTTTCAAAATGAATTTAAATCTATCTTCTGAAAGGGGTTTGGTAAAAATATCAGCCTATTGATGGTCTGTTTTTACAAAGTTTAAATTTAAAATTCCCTTCTGAATATAGTCCCTTATAAAATGATATTTAATTTCAATGTGTTTAGTTTTAGAATGTAAAATGAGATTTTTAGAAAGACAAATTGCAGAAGTATTGTCACATAAGATAGAAATCTTACTTTCATAAAGATTAAAATCTTCTAGCTGACTTTTCATCCAAATCATCTGAGAACTACATCCAGCAACATATATATAATCAGCTTCTGTTGTTGAGAGTGCAATTGTTGCTTGCTTCTTGCTGTACCATGAGATAAGATTGTCACTCAGAAACTGGCAGCTTCCAGAGGTGCTCTTTCTTGCAATTCTATCTTCAGCAAAGTCAGCATCACAATAACCTACTAGTCTGAAATCTTTTGATCTTCTGTAATACAGACCCAAATTAGTAGTACCTTTCAGATACCTCAGAATTCTCTTAACAACAGTTAAGTGAGATTCTCTAGGATCTGATTGGAATCTTGCACATAAACATACGCTGAATAATATATCAGGTCTAGGTGCAGTCAGATAGAGAAGGGATCCAATCATACCTCTGTAGAGCTTCTGATCTACCTTCATACTTATCTCATCTTTTCCCAAAATGCATGTTGGATGCATTGGAGTCTTAACATCTTTGCTTTCTGACATCTGAAATTTCTTCAGAAGTTCTTTGACATACTTCGTCTGATGTATGTAAGTACCTTCCGGAGTCTGGTTGATTTGAATTCCTAGAAAGAACTTCAATTCTCCCATCATGCTCATCTCAAATTCTACCTGCATGGTCTCAGCAAATTCTTTTCCAAGGGAGATATTAGAGGTTCCAAAAATAATATCATCAACATAAATTTGAGAAATTAAGATATCATTTTTAAATGTCTTTCTGAATAGAGTTGTGTCCACTTTCCCTCTGGTAAAATATTTTTCTAAAAGAAAATTACTCAGACGATCATACCAAGCTCTGGGAGCTTGTTTTAACTCGTACACAGACTTTTTTAATTTAAAAACATGTTCTGGATGTTTTGAATCATTAAATCCAGAAGGTTGATGGACATAAACTTTTTCTTCTATATAGCCATTTAAAAATGCACTTTTAACATCCATTTGATATAATGAAATGTTATTTTGAACAACAAAAGAAATTAATAATCTAATAGACTCTAACCTGGCGACTGGGGCAAAGGTCTCATTATAATCAATTCCTTCTTGTTGACTATAACCCTGTGCAACCAGTCGTGCTTTGTTTCTGATCACCTCTCCTTGCTCGTTCAGTTTGTTTCTGAAAACCCATTTGGTTCCTGTTGTACCCCAAAATTTTCCCTCCCATATTCTCCAAGATTTGGCAAGATCAAGCTTCAAAATCTCTCAAGGGTTGCACAGTCCAATTGCCTCCTAACACAGTCAAAATTAGGGTTTTGGTTATGGCAAAGAAATTGAAGTTTTCAAGGGTCCAATCAAGTCCCACATGCCCATATACATTGTCAAGCATCCACATGCCAAGTTTCAGGGCTCACAGC